GCTTATTGTTACTACTAGCGTGGCACTTGTTACTACTAGTAAGGCACTTGTTACTAGTAGCTTATTGTTTCTAATAGCAAACATTGTTACTACTAGTAAGGCACCTGTTCCTAGTAGCGTGGCACTTAGGCTCTGCCGTCCTCCGCATCGAGGCTGGCGCCATGCAAAGGCCACACCTCACCGAGTCACCGAGCGCTTTCGGTGCAAGAAGCGCCGAAGGGATTGAGCTTCTGCTTGAAGGGAAACGGAGTGTCGGATCATATGATAATATGATATATACTGTATATAATATATGGTATGATAATGCCCAAAGCATGCATTTCATGACTGGGTGTTCAAGATCTCCATGGGGTTCTTTCGGTGTCAGAAGCCATGAATTTTGATTGAATTGAATGACTTGGTCATCCCCCAACTGGGCTTCAGAGCATTCACCACCGAAGGTGTACTCCTCCGTGAGAAACGATAGACGCATCCTGGCAGGTTGCAAAGGTAGTCTGAAGGAGTTTTGATCAAGCTGGGAACTAAGTGTTTTTTGCTGAACAACGCTGATACATCAGAATCTGTTTGATCACCCTTTTGAAACCAAAGTTTTAGTTCTCCGGGAACAGGTATCCAGATTTGTTTGGCCTTTGAAAGCTACCCACAAGGTCAAATGTCAAATGAAACTGGAGAAGTTGGGGTCATACGGTAGTCATACCAAGACTTTGCCAGGCTCCACCCATCTCTTCACCTGCAGAGCTTCATCATGCTTCATCCGTAATTTACGGAGCTTTGTCGCTTTTGGCAACAGAATTGAAGCCAAACCCTCCAAACCATTGCTCAACTCACTAGAATCACTAGAAGTACACAGAGAGAAAATGAGAAAGCACCTCATCATACAATCGCTAGTAGTAACAGGTGCCTTACTAGTAGTAACAAGAAGCTATTAGAAACAAGTGCATCGCTTCTAGTAACAAGTGCCTTACTAGTAGTAACAGGTGCATCGCTAATAGTAACAAAAAGCTAGTAGGAACAAGTGCCTTACTAGTAGTAACAGGTGCCTTAAATTTACTTTAAATTAAGTCTAATAGCTTCTTTGTTACTAGTAGTAAGGCACTTGTTACTACTAGCGTGGCACTTGTTACTAGTAGTAACAGGTGCATCGCTAGTAGTAATAGACACGACTCCTTCGAATGAAGCGACGTTTCCTCGAGCCCTGCCTAGCCCACAAGAGGACTCGATGCCGTTGAGACGCACGGTGACGTTGCCAAGGATCTAGGGAGCAAATGGCATCGAATATCCAAACTGACCTGATCATCCTGTGATCATGCTGATCTTGTTTCATCTTATCTGTACCGTTCGATCCCTCTCCTTCTTGGGTTTGGGACACCAACATTCCGACAAATGAAATTTGAATGAAGTCGCAAGCTGAAGGTACAAGGCAGGCCCGGCAAGTTGCTCACTGTTTTGCCCTACCAACACAAAGCGCTGCAGCACTCTTAATTCGCATGGACTGTTCTGGAAAAGGGTCCATGCCCTAATCTACTCATGCAAAAGCAAATAACTTAATCAAACATATGGGGTGGAGGCCATCGCTCTTGGGGTGGAGGTGCTGCAGCTTTCACGTTGGTCAACCGGATCTTCAGCGCCGGCGCCGCTTGAGCTCACGCCCTTCTTCTACCGCTTGTTCAGCAAAGACTGCAGCATCCTGGGAGCTCGAAGGGAAAAAGAAGCGATGGAGTTTGCGGCGATGGAGTTTACTCAAGAAACTGCCAGTGTTTCAATCTGTATTTAAAAAAACAGCACGATGAAAAGAGCAACTTATTCACCAAGTCCATTCAACCGAGTCCACTCGACGTCCTTTGCAGTATCTGTGGAAGCTCTTCCACCGAAGCTTTGGGAGAAGGACACCGCCACGGTCTGGTGGCGACGGTCCACGACCCAATAAGTTCCACCACCACCGCCCATCCACATGGTCTCGCCCATGCGAACGTGGCCCGCCTTCGGCGGCTCCTCGTTACGTCACCCAGAAGAAGAAGTGAAGAGTGTGAGTTCTCTTCAGCTGGGTCATTAAGGTGTTGCAGAAGTGAAGAGAAGTTGACTTGTTGTTCCATGTTGTTTCTTTCTCTGCCATTCTGCTGTATGCCCCTCCTGGAAGGTCAGGTGCGTATTGAGCAGAGACCAACCTGTGTAGTCCCAAACGCCTGCGGTCGGATCAGCTCAAGTGCCCAAATGGTAAACAAAGAATCCGCAGGCGCAGGCAACTCGAAGAGATGCCTCCAGGCGCACGGCCAGCGGCATCATGCCAACCAGGAAGGCGGCCATCCTGGTGATGGGGTCACACCAAAAAGAGACAACATTATGAACAAACGGCTGAACATTGTGTCGATTGTGTGAAACACCTATTGAGACCTGAACCCCAATTAATTGGTTCATTCCTTGCGGCCATAGGGAACGAGGCTGTCTTCCCAAAGGCTTTTGAGCGTCTTTGGCCGCAATATCCGTTGACCGGAAGGAGATAGGCCTCGCAGCTGACAGTCTTCAGCCGCAAGGATTGGAATGCGATCCAAATGTAACTCGAAAACAACAGTCAGGTTCAAACCAGCGCTAGTAATTAGGTTGGAGGCCATCGCTATTAGATTGGAGGCCAGCTAGCGATGGTTCAAACTCAGTTTTTGGCTCGAAAGCTGAGATGTTAATCTAAATGAATTCAACCTGGCTGGAGGGTTCACCTTGAGACACATAGATTCTGAAACCACTGAGTACTCACAACATCAAATCAAACGGTTTTAAGATTTCCGTTCACCGCCTGTGAGCAAGAGTTGGCAGAACTTCACATAATCCTCTGCTGTACTCCACATTCCAGCATCCTCAGAAACACAAATTTTCCTCAAAGAATCTTATATACATCAAACTCGCATCATTTGAGAGGGTCTGGTGATGGGTACTACCCCACCCAGTACAACAGTGATGTAAGTCTTACTCAACGATGGTCAAAGGAGCATCCCACTTTCCAATTTAGTCCACACTTCCAACCTACTAGCGATGGCCTCCACCTAGAATGCACAGCTGGCGCAGCTGGTTTGATATGCCTTCATCATGATGGGCCGTTTTAGGATAAAACCCCTTGGAGCTTCACGGGTAATTACTCTGCATCAGAACATCTCGCAACCATTCCCCGCTTTCGCTTTGAAACATGTCTATCATTGTCAATGTGCCTATCGGTATTTTTTGCGAGCCAGGCACATGGTAGCTCAATATGCCACCGCCACCGCTCATAATGCCGGGGGCCTTTTCTGGATGTTGCCAGACCTCCCAAATTCCAGAAAAACAGATATTCATACGCAAACTTGCCCGATGCTGCAGAACCGAAGCAAAAAGGATCTGAAGAACGGTATACAAAGGACTCAAAGGACCTACAGCTTCCATTTGCTGCCTTAAGAGTGTAGCTTCCAGCAATGCGATTGCACTCGTAGAGTGTTGCTTGTCTTGACTTCTTCTTCGCCTCATGGAGAGACTCATGGAAACAGACATGAACTAAGTGCCACGCTACTAGACTAGTAACAGGTGCCTTACTAGTAGTAACAATGTTTAAGAAACAAGTGCCTTACTAGTAGTAACAATAAGAATTTAATTAGAATTGTAATTATTAGCAAAGAAATCTACTAGGACATGACGACTTTGAGACATTCTGAGACTTGTTCTAATTAAATTCTTATTGTTACTAATAGCTTCTTGTTACTACTAGTAAGGCACTTGTTACTACTAGCTTCATGTCCCAAGGTCTGCGCTAGCCTTAGACTTTTGGTCACGGTCAAAAGCATCCGAATTCAACAGAGTCCTATCGAACATGTCGATTGGGCAGGAAGGACACTATCGAACACTCAGACTCTCAACAATCCTACGTTCAGGCTGGTCACTGGCACTACAAAGTGTGTATCACGCATGCCCAAGGGCTCCAGCAAGGCTTCCTTCATGAAGGACTCCAAGGACTTTCCGCTGATCTTCTCGCAAATCCAGCCCAGGTAGTCGGTGCAAAAACTGTAGGTGTAGCAGGAACCTCTCATTCAGCTTATTAGGTTGGAGGCCATCGCTAGTAGGGTGGAGACCATCGCTATTAGCTGAAATCAAATGCTGAAAGCAGTATGCTTTGGTGCCGATTTGCTCCTCTCAATCTGTTCGTCTCGCCTGGTTCATTCTGCAGCGGTGCTTTGGCCAAAGCATCACACATTGCGCTGAGCGTTCGGATCTGGCCCTTGCGGATTTGCTTCATCACCGAGCTGTAGGCTGGGCAGTCCTGGCGACTCTTGGAGATCATTGGTCCCTTCTTGCATCCAATGCCTTCCAAGAATCTTTGCATGTAGCTTCTAGCTAACAGTAGCGATGCACTTGTTACTAGTAGCTTCTTGTTCCTAGTAGCAATGCCAGGAGCTACTAGTAGCTTTTTAAGTATTGGCCCATCGGACAGTACCGATTCCTGTTTCAGTCAAATCACCGTGATTCCTGGTACTGCAGCCCCGCAGTCATCGTCAAGAGGTTTCTCAGCGTTGGCACAGTCTTCACCGGCTTTGACTTCACAGAGGATGAGAATGGGATGTACCTGAATCACCCAAATACGATCAAATACACCCTTCCTTCATGGGCACCCCACATCAGCACCTTTGTATTGGAAATCCTCATGATTCACTGGTGCTTTTCTGGTGGCTTGGGAAGTTCAGGCCCGTGTGACGCGGGCTAATTACCGCTGATGTACAAAACGGCTTAAAGCATACGAAAAAAAGAATTAATGTAACTTCCAAAATGGCAACCCGACCCATCCCATCCAAACAAGAGGTCAGCTTTGACTAACTCATAGTCCCGAACAACTAAGTAGTAAACAGTGAAGGTTCACTCGAAGAACGGTGAAAAAAAGCACTCGTTTACAGCATTCTTGCTGGTAGCAGTGGGGAGTATTTAAGTTTGCTTCTAAATCTGAGACCCAAATCAAGAAAGTAAAAAAGCTTCTTTGTGAGAAAACCATAGATACTTTGACACAGGATCCGACAACTTTGCCTTGCCCTTGTCGACTAAGGTCAAAAAAGCGCATGCGACCAGTGGCTTGGTACATCCATGGAGCTTGCAAAGGGTCCTCAAGGAACAAAGGAACATTCGAAGGTGATGGTACTGCTGATGGTGTGTTACTTTCATCCCGGGGCCCTGTTTGCCCTGCCTATCCCGAAAGCAGTGTTGCGTGGGGAGCTCGATTCATACGATGTTACCCTCTGGCAACTTAAGTCTCGAGAGTCTCGGTCAAGATGGATTTCGGTCTCACCGGTCTCCGCCCTACTGGCATTGGACTCCCAAAGAAACCCAGCAATGGCCGTAGCGATGGCCTCGGTCTCAACATGTCTCAACTCTCCTGACGTTGAAGTCTTCTTTGCTGTTGGCCTTGCCATCGCCCATGTGGAAGACACACTTCCCCCGGCGCAGCACCACGTGACTGGCGCCCGCCAACGCTCCGCACTGCACCTCCGCCGCCACGGTCTGCCGGAGCTCCTCCAGCGGCGCCGCCGCCAGCGCCTGGTCCTCGGGCGCCACCAGCGGAAAGACGCCACCGAGGGCGGAGCGCGTGGAGTGCGACAGGGCGCTGGAAGGACGCTTCAGGGGCGCCATGGCTATCACGCTTCGTTGTGGCCTAGCAGCAGCTAGTGTGGTTAAATGCTGCTATCGGGCGATGAGAATCGATCGGATCGATCAGATTGAGGTGTGACTATGTTTTTCAGATTAATCTCTGCCACCTGTTAAGCGAGTGAAGGTTCAGCCCTTAAAGTGGATGAATTTGAGTGATGTAGAATCATGACCTTGTCGAGTCTCTGCAGGTTGCGAATGAAGGGTGAGAATGGTAGGCAGCGGTTTGATTGGACACTTGCTCTCAGCCACCGATGTATCAACGCTGCGGCAAGCAACTCCAAAATCTCGCAAAGCCACTTTTTGCAAATATCATTGCCTTGGGCCTTGGACGGTACCAATTACTTTTGGCAACACGGACACAGTCTTTCTACATAGGAATCTTGCCACCAAACCTTTCAAAGTAGCCAACATCGCCATCTTTGGCTCTCAAGATTGGTGTCGTTGGATTCGCCAATGTTTAATTGATTCCAGTACTAGGTACTGACTATAGTTAGTTTTTGTCCTTTGCCAAATGCGTGCTATAAACTGAGACGACTTTTCAGAGCCCCAGACCTCTTCCAAGCCTCCCTCGCTCCTGCAAAGCAAAAGTTCAAAGATGAAGAACGTAAATCCAAAATCCAGTGACGTGTCTCTACATAAAGCTGTAAATCTGCTTGGAGAAATGGATTGAGTGATGAAAGTAGTCATGAAAAAAAATGGAAAACGTTCGCCTGACGTACTCCAACAAAGGCTCCGTGAGCGCGGGTGCCTCAAGAAGTCTCGATCTACAATAGTTCCCAAAGAATATATATATAATACAGTAGCACTGGCTCAAGCCATTGAATTTTTGAATCTGTGCACGCATGGGCAGGTCAAACGAGGATCTGTTTCAATCCCAATCCACTTCCGTGATGTCTATTTTTCGAACTCTTCATTTTTTGAACAACGTGAACATCTTGTTCAAGTGCCTTACTAGTAGTAACAAGAAGCTATTAGTAACAAGTGCCTTACTGTAACAAGTGCCTTACTAGTAGTAACAAGAAGCTATTAGTAACAAGTGCCTTACTAGTAGTAACAAGTGCCTTACTAGTAGTAACAAGTGCCTTAGTAACAAGAAGCTATTAGTAACACGTGCCTTACTAGTAGTAACAAGTGCCTTACTAGTAGTAACAAGAAGCTATTAGTAACAAGTGTCTTACTAGTAGTAACAAGTGCCTTACTAGTAGTAACAAGTGTCTTGCTAGTAGTAACAAGAAGCTATTAGTAACAAGTGCCTTACTAGTAGTAACAAGTGCCTTACTAGTAGTAACAAGAAGCTATTAGTAACTAGTAACAAGTGCCTTACTAGTAGTAACAAGAAGCTATTAGTAACATCCATGTTTTTGAACAGGCGAGCGCTCACAGAAACCCACTCGTGTGGCCTCGCACCGAAGTCGGCGGCTCTGCAACGAAGCAGCTGGCACCAATGGGCATGGCAAGTCCTGCACATATTTTCTCATAGCGATGGCCTCCACCTAGAAGCGATGGCCTCCAACTGGCCTCCAATCTAAGAACGATGGCCTCCAACCTAATAGCGATTTAGGCATTTAACTGAGGTGGTCTTGGCGACTTGAAAGCCTGAAGTTGAAGCATACATCGACATACTGTTTGTATCTGTTTATCTTTCTCTGGCCCAAAGTGTAACACGGCGTTGCTCCTGCATAGTACCATTGGCTAAAGTCACTCGCATGAAAATGTCGTGTCGAAAAATGTCAGGATGAAAGCCTTCTCCACCTCAGTTCGCCATAGGTGCTCATTGTTGAGAACAAATGAGAAAAGAAACATCGGTGAAAATGGAGGTGCTGGATGAATCAAATTGAATATCAACAACTCTGATGGGAAATCAAAAGACTTGCATCTAAGGGCTGGCTTTGTCTCGAAGAACTGTCCACAATACCAAGTGCCGGCACTCACATCCAAAACGGCGCCGCCGTGCCAGCTGCCAGTGTCCGGGGAGACCTACACAGCGTACACAGTGGAACCGGCCCGTGTGGAGTTAGAACCAAGACCTACGACTGTGCCAAGAGACTAGCAAACGCAGCGTTCTCGTTCATAGTAAGTGTTGGCCAGATGCTAGAAAGAGCGAAAGAAAACAGTTAAAGCTGTAATTAAAGGAACAGAACTTCCTTGGGAATCGTTTCACTGGGAATCGCTTCACCTGTAGTAACAAGAAGCTTTTTAGTATGTCTTTGAAGCTCCTTAGTAACAAGAAGCTACTAGGTTGGAGGCCATCGCTATTAGGTTGGAGGCCATCGCTACTAGGTTGGAGGCCATCGCTACGAGGTTGGAGGCCATCGCTACTATGTTGGAGGCCATCGCTAGTAGGTTGGAGGCCATCGCTACTAGGTTGGAGGCCATCACTACTAGGG